CCGAGATGTCTCGGCCACAGCCGAGATTCGCAGGCACTACCCTTCACAGGCAAACGCGAAGTCTCAAGAGTAGCCTACTCCGAAGAAGCGGGGGGGTCGGGGCAGGGATGGAGGCCGAAAAAAGTAAAAAAGAAAAAGAAGAATTAAAAAAGTAAAGAAAAGAGGAACTTCGAATTCACCTACGTCAGTGCTTTGAGGAATGTATCTGGCCAGGAATTTAGGAACATGAAACAGGTCGTTTTCCTTTTTTGTTTCTTGTTGTGAGGTCCTTGTAGCGCCCTGCCAGCCAGGCAGGGCAGATTCCACGCGAGGCAGCTAACTGCCTCGCTTCATTCAGTTCCAGACAAGTTCTGTAGCATCCTGTATCGAACCGTAATCACAACATAAGGGATGTTGTTGGTTTTTTTTTTTTTTTTAATCTGCTTTTTGTGGATGTTTCGTTTCAACTCGAAGGATTCAGTTATCGATTTCGATGACCCCCCGCTCTCCATTTTCCACCCATCCCCAAACCATTTCCCCAACAACAGCCCAAGAAAAGATCAACCCTCCACCCAAAAAGGAAACCGGGTCGCCGACAGCAACAAAGCCGAACGACCGAATGAAAAGACCATTGGACGTACACTACCCAAAGCCTACCACGACCACTCGGTCCGTCTCCTAGCCGTGACCGCACCCTTCGCACTTTTCCCTAAACCCCGAAAAGACCCCGCCAAACCTCATTCGAAGTCCACGACATTTCCCAAAAAAGCAAAGACAGAAAATGACAAAAGAACAATCGAGGTAAGCGCAGCCTCTGGCTGCGAACAATAAAAAAGCCCTAAACGGCCGTCAAAAAAGAATAAAATGTGTTGGACTGGTACCAAAATGAGGCGGGGGCCCAAGTCCCCACTTGGCTAGATTCTTCATTTCTTTCCATCGTTCTTCATAACCTATGATGTACGTAGGACTTGCCCTCAGGGACCTTACCCCACCTACACCGTTGAGCTAGGTCCACGTTAGTTTTCGTCGCCGTGTGAATGTAGGCGACGAAGGAGATGCACGCCCTCGCTCATCCAGTGGTCCGCTCTTTTTTTAATGTATTCAGGCGACAAAGGACCCTCGCGCTCATCCAGTTGTCCGCTCTTTTTTTAATTGTGAATACATTTTATCGCGTTTTTCCTTAGATCCAAAAATGACGTTTTCTCAAATGCAACGCCCCCTACCCTCGCCACTTGCCGTTGAGCTAGCTGTCTCTTTTTTTGGAGACAGCCAGTTCAATGACCGTTGGCGTCCTTTTGGAGATTTTTTTTTTAATGTTATTTTATTACATTTTGAGAAATTTGTGAGGTTGCATGTACTTGGCTATTTTCGTGCCACTTTTGAAGGACCAAATATGTGTGAAGTATGGGCAATTTGGTGCTGCAACCTTTGAAGGACCACATATTATGCGTCAACTACGGGAAAAGGGCAACTCTTCATAGGATTGGAGTGACTCTTCGGATGTCATGTATGCCACTCCAATCGTGGGAAAAAACAAAAAGAACGAATTGTATCTTTGGTGGATTTTGTAATGCATTTCTGAATTTGAAATGAATTAAAAAAAAGCAGCTTCAGCCGTCACACCGTTGAGCTAGGTCCACTAAACGGTGCATGTGGGACAAGGTCCCAGGGTCCTCACGGTCTACTTGGGATGTACAGTCTGTTGTTGTTGTTGTTGTTGTTGTTGTTGTGAGCAGAGACGGTATGGGTGTCGTTGTTGTAATTGTTGTTGTTGTCATTGTGGCTGTCGACGTTGTCATTGGTGTTGTTGTTGTTGTCATTGTTGTTGTCGTTGTTGTTCAGGTTGATGCCGTCGTTGTTGTTGTTAGCCGCCGCCAACACTGCAGNTTTTTTTTTTAAGTACAGTCTGTTTCGGATGCTCCTCTCCACAAATTGTGGCAGCAAAAAGGGAAAAAAGAAAAGGTAGTAGTAGTAC